GCGAACGGTCTTAAAATGATTGTTGTTGTTGGTGTTGTTGTTTGTTGTCGTCGTCCCACCCGCGACCAACCGCGACCCACCCCGCGACCCACCCGCGACCCACCCTGCGACCCACCCGCCACCCACCCGCGACCCACCCGCGACCCACCCTGCGACCCACCCCGCGACCCACCCCGCGACCCACCCCGCGACCCACCCCGCGACCCACCCAGCGACCCACCCAGCGACCCGCCCGCGACCCACCCCGCGACCCACCCTCAAGGGAGGACAAACCACCCGGACCCGACAATTGACGTTTAACCCGGCCCACCCCGCAGGTGCGGATAAGAGTGAGGGGGCGGCGAGGACGCCGTCAGTCTGCGAGGCTCTGGAAAAGCCCGCCGCAGGCGCCTACCTTATACAAATTATGCTATGAGCACGCCGCAGTCGCCGACTTCTTCGTGAAAACAATGTGGGTGGATCGCGGGGTGGGTCGCGGGTGGGTCGCGGGAGGGTCGCGGGTGGGCGCGGGCCGGGTCGCGGATGGGTCGCGGGTGGGTCGCGTGCGGGTCGCGGGTGGGTCGCGGGTGGGTCGCGGGGTGACGCGCGGGGTGGGTCGCGGGGTGGGTCGCGGGGTGGGTCGCGGGGAGGGTCGCGGGGTGGGTCGCGGGGTGGGTCGCGGGGTGGGTCTCAGGTGGGTCGCGGGGGGGGCGACGACAACGACGACGACGCCAAAAATCATTGGTCACGCGCGTCCCTCTGGAGACCGCACCCCATCATGGAGGGGTTTCCGGCACGCGGGGCCCAGCGCCCCTTCGCCCAAATCCCCCGCCCAAGAAAGTCTCGCCGCCACCTTTCCCGAGGAACTTCGACGTCCATAGCTCGGACGGCAAATCGCCATCGCAATCGCCTTGCGCGCGCCCCGCACCTCGGAGGAGGGGGAAGAGGACGAGGATAGCAGGGAAGATGAGGGAGAGGAAGAGGGAGAGGAGGAGAAGGAGGATGGAGGAGGAGGAGGAGGGGGAGGAAGGAGGAGTAGTTGTAGTAGCAGTACCTCCGAGGACGAGGTGTTTTTTACTCCTCGTTCGAACTGTTGCGCCACCATCCTGCGGCCTCGGCGCGTGGCCCTGAACGTTCACGCCCCCAGGCGTTGCCGCTCCCATGCTCGCATCCCCCACCTGCCCCTCCACACCCTCTCAAGGAATCCCTGAAGTCAGCCCTTCGACCCTCGATGCTTGGAGTCCCTGGAAGTCCTCCGTCCTCCTTCTTCTCCTCCTCCTCCACATTATCTGAGCTCTCCAGACATGATTGTGATTCAATAAAAAAAAGGTTAAACAGGGACTCTTCGAAGCCCCCCAGAGGCGATGCCGAAACGAGGGCCCCACTCTTGAGTAAAAGGTGAAGAAGTATCAAACGGGAGCGACGAGGGAAGACGGAAGGGGAAGGGAGGAGGGATGAGGGAGGCAGGAGGAGGAAGGAGACAAGGGTGACGAAAAGGGGAAGGAGGAGGGAGGAGGAGGGAGGAAAGGGGGAGGAAAGAGGAACGGGAGAGGGAGGAGGGAGAAAAAGAGGGGGTGGAGGGAGGAAGAGGGAGGAAGAGAGAGGGGGAAGGAGGGAGGGGGAGGAGGAGGAGGAGGAAGAGGTGGAGGAGGAGGAGGAGGAGGAGGAGGAGGAGGAGGGAGGACGGGGGCTGTCGGCGGCGAGCAAGAGCACCGCCTTGAGTAAAAAAGGGAGGACGTCTCGAGCGGGAGCGTTGTTGTTGCTGGGGGGCGGCGCCGGTGAGAGAAAGAGTAGCGCGACTGTCCAAAGTAAAGCGGGGGGAAGCCTCGATCGGGAGCGCTGGTTTTGTTGAGACGGCTGCTTTCGGCGGCGAGCGAGAGCACCGGCCCTGAGTAAAAAAGGAGGAGGTCTCGAAAGGGAGCGTTGTTGTTGGGGGGCTGGTTTTGGCGGGATCTCAAACCGCTTGAGAGAGAGAGAGAGAGAGAGAGCCTTTTTTTCTATGAAAATGCAGCCGGCGCCTCGGCGAGAGCGCCAGGGCACCTATAAGGGGCCCAACAATAATCATGTTCTCATAACTCACATTCAACAGCAGCAACAACAAGCAGAATCCTCCCCGCGGATTTTCACTTCAGCCACGCACCTGGGAACAAAGAATGAGCGTTTGGCCCCCTCACTCAGACTAAACGGCCCTGGGCGTTGAATAAACAGCCCTGTCCTGTCCGATTCATTCCTTGTGTGCGTTTACTGGACGGCTTCGCTTGTCGGGGTGATTATCATTGGGTTGATTCTCTGCCCTCTACACCCGCGACCCATCCGCGACCCAACAGCGACCCATCCGCGACTCACCTGCGACCCATTTGCGACACACCCGCGACTTACCCACATTGGCTTAACGAAAAAACCGGCGCCTGCGGCGGGCTCGAGCCTCGCAGACTGACGGCGTCCCCACCGCCCCCTCACTCTTATCCGCATCTGCGGGGAGCTACGTATTCATACCCACCGCCTGCCGATATCCCGTAACGTCGATCCTGCAGCGGTGGTTATGGGCAAATCCCCGTCTCAGACCAATGGAATTCGGTCCGCGGCCTGCATCGATGTTGAAATGTCCACCCTGCACGTTTGAGCAACATGTAACGTATCGGTCTTCGTACGCCGTTTTCGGGTCCTCGACCGTCAGAGCAGGATCCGGGGCGGGCAAGATGTCTGCAGGGAAGGGGCCAGAGTGGAGAGGAGTGGTGGAAAAGGGTAAGAGCAAGCGTATAATCCCGGGACGTGTCCAAAGAGTGGGGGGGAGGTGAGGGGGGCGGAGAGGGGAAGTGAGGGAGAGCGAGAGGGAGCCCTGACACCATCCCGGTGATTTCCCCAAGCCCAGTCCAACGCTGACGACGTTGGGCTTGAAGGGCGGCCCACGGGAAGAGTTCAGGGAAACAGGCTCACGGGATGACCCAGGAGGGTGAGACGTGTGGGAAGGGGGAAGGGGATGGTCCAGACCTCTCGACCGGCCTGCGGGACCAGCCTTTTGCTCCAGGTCGATGCTCCGGGGGCCCGACGACGGGCCCACGAGGCCAGAACGTAAGCCCAGACATGCGACGTCCTGATTTTTTCAGGACGGTGTCCCTGGAAGTCCCGACCCTCTCCCTGGGACCCGTGTTTCATCCTGAGTCGTTTTTTGACGGCCCCGAGGCCCAGCGAGGGCCCCCTTGAGGCCGAAAACTAGAAAAAACCCTCCGTCCTGATTTTTAACGACGCGATCATGTCTGGGAGGAGAACGCCGCTGCCACGAGCAAGCTCGCGACGACGGAGGTCGCCTCGGCCCCCGCAGGTCTCTGGGCGAAGCAGCCCCCGTGGCCTCTGGGGGCCTCCGTCGCCCCCCCGCCACACGCAACAACATCCAGGCTCAACGAACATCCGTCGCGCGTTGGACTCCTCCTCCGCCTCCTCCTCCTCCTCCTCCTCCTCCTCCTCCTCGTCCTCCCTCCTCCTCCTCCTCTCCTCCTCCGCCTCCTCCTCCTCCTCCGCCTCCTCCCGGGACCGGGCCCTCGTTGCAGTCAGAAGCGGGTTTCCACAGGCCAACAGGGTGACAAAACAAGCTGTCTGTGGTCCCCAGGCGGTCTTTTGTCGGCCGACCCCTGGCTGCAGGCGGGGGTACCACGAACGGCTCGCCTGCACCCTGGACAGTGGCGGGGCAGGGAGGCGGCCGCGGAGGAGGGGAGCTTCGGGCGGCGGAACGCAGGACGGGGTGAACCAGTGGGAGGTGCACGTGGGTGTGGAGGTGCATGTGGGTGGGGGTGGCGGTGGGGGTGGGCGTGGCTGTGGGTATGGGCGTGGGGCAAACATTTGGACGCCCGAAATTGGTACGGAAAGAATGGGTACAATGCCCAACAGCGGATCCTGTTCATTCTGAACAAGACTCGCTGTCGGTGTCGCCGCGGCCTGTGCCCATTCGAGACAGAAGGCCGCCTGTCCAACAGCGGCCGCTGTTGGTTCAGGACAACATTTGCTGTTGGGCATTGTGCCCATTTTTGTGCCCATTCTTTCCGTACCCATTTCGGGCGTCCACAAAACAGAGGCCGCCTCGATTCTTGTTCGGCGCGCCAGATGTGCGGGAGCACCCTGACCCTGCTCGATGCCCAGACCCCCGACGTCACTATTCATTCATAATGTGGGTCCCCAGAGGTCTCGACCCATTCCCCAGGACTGGTTTCTCGTCCTGCGTCGGTTTTTGGCGGTCCCGAGGCCTGGTAAGGTCCTACAGAAGCCGAAACTAGGGAAAAACCTGCAGATGTGTTGTTTGTCCTGACTCGAGGGGGTCTGAGGACCCTGCTTCAATTTCGTTCGGTGCGTAAGCAACCCTGGAGGTCTGGGCCCCTTTCCTGGGGCCCGGCGCTCAGTGCAGACAGCTTCTGACGACGGCCTCGCAAGAACCCGGCCTCCAGATGCCATTGGAGGGCCGAGGATCGAGGAGGATCGAGGATCGAGGAGGATCGAGGATCGAGGAGGATCAAGGATCGAGGATCGAGATCGGAAAGAAACTGCCGCCGCGACTTTTGTTCGATGACCACGACGACTGGGCACATCTGGGCCCTCTGCCTCCTGACGCCCCCTCCCCCCCTCGAGGCCGAGAGGTCGGCACCGAGCGGCCTTGGAGGCCCGGCGGCGATCGGGGGCGCACCGACCGAGGCCAGTGCAGACCCGGAAGATCCTGCAGGATCCTGCAAGATTGAAGGGGCCCTGGGACACACAAATAAATACACACAAATAACCATAGTCCCCATATGTTTCAATATTTTCTTGGTTTTCGTCTTCCCCCCCACTTCGCATATTTTCCCACACTTTCCTGGGAATCGACGATTCATTGTGTCTGTGTGTTTTTTCCCTTCCTGAAAGATCCTGCGCGCAAGCCCAAGTCAACGTACCTCCGGCTCTGCAGGATCCTGCAAGATCCGGCGCTCTGGCCGACCCCCGTTTGCATTCACCACCGTCCCCGTATATAGGCTCCCGAGGCGAGCGCGCCCCGCGTCCTCCGGTGCTGCTGTCTGTGCAGCGCCAGGCTCCTCAGGCCCGCCGCTGGCCCGGTCAGCTCCGCCTGCTGGGAAGGCTGCGCGGCCTGCTGGAAGGAGACAAACTGGGCGGCTCCCTTCGGGCGACGCCTGGGCACCGCCGGCAATGCCAAGGGGGGGGGAGGGGCGGAGACGAGGAGGCTCGAGGCATCGAGGAACGAACTGGGCGACACGTGGGCGCCGCCGGCAAGGCCAAGGGGGGAGGGGAGAGGGGCGGCGACGAAGAAGCTCGAGAGGCTCGAGAGTATGAGGAATGAGGCTTGTGGTCTCGGCTTCGAGGGAGGCTCCTCGACGCCACGGCTGTCGAGGGCTAGATGAGTGAGGTCTTTGAGGGAAGCCTCGACGCTACGGCTGGGTTCCTGCGAGAACCTGGCCACAACGCAGCCCAGGGCAGACCTACAGGGGGCTGATCTGTGAACCCGACCACCGCAGGAGGAGAGGGATATGAGGATGATGAGGATGATGAGGATGATGAAGATGAAGACGAAGATGAAGATGAAGATGGTGATGATGATGCTGATGATGATGATGATGATGATGATCAGGATGATGATGATGATGATGATGATGGTGATGATGATGATGATCAGGATGATGATGATGATGATGAGGATGATGATGATGTTGATGATGATGATGATGATGATGATGATGATGATGATGATGATGATGACCCACGCGGCTGAAGGGGTCAGGAGCTCCCTGCTCGAACTGCCCCTCGGACCGAGGCGTTTTCCGTTGGCCCTGCGGAGGCAACGCTCAGGCTCGTGCCGAAGGCACCCTCGCGGATTCGCCTGAGTGCCGAAAGGCCGTCCCCCGCCCCAGCCGAAGCAAGCGGAAGACACGGCATCCGAAGTCACGGCGACTCAGCCCACGACACCCGCGGGCTGGTACGCAGCTAGCGCTGCCAGAGACATCAAGCGGGCTCAGGGTCGTCTAAGGCCTGGTGGTGAAGGTGATGATGAGGATGGCGAGGATGACGATTCTGGTGATAAGGTTAATGGGGTACATCTGATGATGATGCTGCTGATGATGATGACGACGAAGCTACTGATGATGATCATCATCATGCCGAGGATCATGGTAAGCATGATCATGGTCATGAGAATTATGATGCTGATAATGGTGATGGTGGTGATGATGAGGATGAGGATGATGGTGGTGATGAAAATGGTGGTGGTGATGATGAGGATGATGGTGATGACGATGATTGTTTTTCGCCATGGAACGCATCCCAACACCTGTACTCCTGAAACCTGACAGTTCCAAAACAACAACCCTGCACCGATCCCTTAACTTCGATGATGATGATGACGATGACGAGGACGATGATGATGATAATGCGGAGGAGAAGGAGGAGGAGGACGAGGATGATGATTACAATAAAGATGACGATGCCAATGACAATTACGGTGTCGTCATCGACCGAAGAAGGAATCTCATCGTCATCGTGATCGTCAACATCATCGGTGGCGCTGACTTCGTCGTCATCGTCATCATCGTCACCGACGGCGGGCAGCAAGAAGAGGCCTCTCGGGGCAGACCCTCGGTGTGGACCTCTGGCGAACACGGCGGCCGGGAGCAGCCACGCACCCGACGCAGTGCCCCCTGGACCAGCACGACGACCGAGCTGGTGGGTCTCCAGCCCGGCACAAGCGGTTCCGCTCGGGGGTCGGGCAGAGACCCCCTCTGATGGGCAACGATGGGGGGGCACTGGCATTGCGACACAGGGGAGGAAACATCGACCTGGAAACGGCGATACATCGCCATGGATCGGCGATGGGCCCCCGTTAGCAAATCTGCACCTTCCTATCAGAGCCCTGTCGGCGATCAGCGGGCGATTGGGGGGCGATGCATCCCCCCTATGCCTATCCCTCCCTATCGTTGCCCCTCAAGGGGTCGGACAGAGACCCCCACGCTCTCTTCCTCGGCGCCGGCGAGCGTGCGGCGCGGCAGCAGCGTGGACTGGGCCCCTGTCTGGCGAATCAGAGGCAGAGGCGCGAGGGAGGGAAGAGGAGCGCGGCGCACCGGGCCTTCAAGCGCAGTGCTGTGGCCTCGGGCTCCTCGCAGGCCCTCTGACGAAAACACCCTTCTGAGAGAAGACCGAACGGGGACAACGAACACCGCGGGCCCGCAACCACGGCGGCTGCACTACCCTCTCGAGAAGCCCCCCAAGGGCGGACTTGCGAATCGACTTCGCAGGGTGGAGCACAGTCCAAAACCATTGGCACAAGAACGTGGATAAAGAACATGAGCCCATTCGCTGAGGGACCGAGGCCCTATGGAGATTCCTGCAAACGAACACTGTCCCAAGGTGGAAAGCCCAAAGATGAAGAACACAAGGGCGCCTCTCTAAGATGAAGGTTGTGCTCCTCACCTTTGTGCCAGCTGTATTCCATCAAAGGTCCGATCCACAAGCTCTGGGGGGAAGAGAAGAAGGTCGAGTAGGATGTCGACTATAGAATTGATTGATCCGCCAATTGAGATGTTCGTCGACTCTGCTAAACATGAGTCGCCTTGCTGTAGCTCCACGGACCGTGCACATACCGCTTACAGATTCGACGAAGAAAGCAGTGTGGGGCAAACCCGTGCTGTGCTCGATCTTCGGGTCGGGCGAAAGGGGGGGATAGCAAAGGGGGGGCTTGAGAATCAGCTCGCGTAGCTGATTTTCGCGGCGCCTCCCGGCGCCGGAGGCGGCTAATGTATCGAGGAATGCGGCCCTCGGTGAGGCCGAAACCAGCTGCATGCCGCAAATTTCGTAACCCCCCCTTTTCCCAATCCCCCCCCTGTCGCCCGGCCCGAGATGAGGAGCGAGGAGGAGGAGGAGGCGGAGGAGGAGCGATGAGGAGGAGCGAGGAGCGAGGAGCGAGGAGCGAGGAGGAGGAGGAGGAGGAGGAGGAGAGGAGGAGGGGAGGAGGAGGAGGAGGAGGAGGAGGAGGAGGGAGGAGGTGGAGGAGGGAGCGCTCCTACCGAGCGGGGTGCCGGAGGAAACAGTCCCGCCTCTCCGCGCCCCGAGGCCGCCGGAGGCATGGCGAATTCCCAGGCCGGCGGCGGCAACGGCGCCGCGGTGCCCTCGAAGCGCCGTGGCCGGCAGCGCGAAGGCGGCCGGGTGCGGCCGCGGAGGCTGCTCTGAGCATCGTCCAACCGATCCGAGCCCGCGGGCGTGGCCTCGGCCCCAACTGGCCGATTTACCCTCCTTTATGGGCCAAATGCGAACCCTACCCCTACACCCCACGATTTCTGAGGGGGAGGGTGGGGTTCACTTCGCTCGGGAGCTCCCGAACGAAAGTGAACCCCCACCCTCCCCCTCGGAAATTGTGGGGGGTAGGGGTAGGGTTCGCATGTGGCCCCCGATCCTTGGATGAGGGGATGCAGGCTGGTCCCTTCGAGTTTCGAGGGGCAGATCCCCAACCTGGGTGGTGGGATGGTGGGCATCGGGATGGGGACGGGGACAGGGGGTCGGTTCAATAAAACTGAAGCAGAGGCCCGTTTCCCCCCTGGCCTGGGTTAGGGGCTGCGGCCCGCGGGCCGGAGGGAGCTGCTGTGCAGGTGAGGGCTCCCTGATCTGAGGGCAGGTTTTCCGAGGCGGGGCGCGACTTGTGCGAATGGCAGGCCGCCGTTTCTTGAGCCCCACAGGGGTGGTTCCCCGCGCGGGGAGAATCGGCACTTCAACGAATGGGCCATGAAATGTGGGGCCCCAGGGCGAGGAGGTCTCGAACACCGCAACCTGGAAGCCCTTTCCGAATCATCTCTGGAACACCCATCCCTCAGAGCCCCGCTTTCGAACCCCCGGGAGAACGGGGGGACGGGGGCGGGGGGGGGCGGGCAGACCTCCGTCGCGGTTCTCGCAGCTGGCGGCGTTTCCCTGAGTTTCGGATCCAGGGGCCCTGGGCCCTGGGGCCGCCGGAGAAGGATCTGGGGTGAGAGGCTGGCCCCAGAAGCGGATCGAGAGATCCACGGTCCACGTATTGAACAAAACTTCCTGGCGGCGTTTCCCTGAGTTTCGGATCCAGGGGCCCTGGGCCCTGGGGCCGCCGGAGAAGGATCTGGGGTGAGAGGCTGGCCCCAGAAGCGGATCGAGAGATCCACGGTCCACGTATTGAACAAAACTTCCTGGCGGCGTTTCCCTGAGTTTCGGATCCAGGGGCCCTGGGCCCTGGGGCCGCCGGAGAAGGATCTGGGGTGAGAGGCTGGCCCCAGAAGCGGATCGAGAGATCCACGGTCCACGTATTGAACAAAACTTCCTGGCGGCGTTTCCCTGAGTTTCGGATCCAGGGGCCCTGGGCCCTGGGGCCGCCGGAGAAGGATCTGGGGTGAGAGGCTGGCCCCAGAAGCGGATCGAGAGATCCACGGTCCACGTATTGAACAAAACTTCCTGGCGGCGTTTCCCTGAGTTTCGGATCCAGGGGCCCTGGGCCCTGGGGCCGCCGGAGAAGGATCTGGGGTGAGAGGCTGGCCCCAGAAACGGATCGAGAGATGCAGGGTCCACGTGTTGAACAGAGCACACCGTCGGAGGTCTGGGGAGACGAAGGGGGGCATCTCGGGACGAAGGCACGCTCGCCGGACCACAGTCAGGACCTCGACGCGTCGAGGGAGGCCCGCCGACTGCACGGAGCTTGCACGCCCACCTCTCGACATCAATATTGGGTGCCGTGGCCTTGCCGAGGGGAAAGGGGCGCGCGGAAAAAACAATGGAGAGGGGAGGAGGCCAATGCGGGAGGGTAGGACGCGGTATGGGGTAGGGCACAGAAGGGGGGGGGGTACGGTGGGAGGGGAATGGAGGAAGGGTGGCGCGTACAAAGAGATGAACGAAATCATTGTAGGCAGGGGAGAGAATGCGAAGGGATAGCGGCGGGGCAGCATGGTTGATTCAAACTGCATGGCCCCTCACAGCAGCCGAACGCCAACGTGTTGGCATAGGTAACCTACTCCGACGACCAATCCGTCCACCACTTGTTTCCACGACCCCGCAAAGCTACCTTCTGCCACGAGACGGATGAGGCGGCTTCGCGAGGTGCATTGGAGAGAACGGAAAGGGAATATCACCGCTCTTGTGCCGTGCGCACCCCACAAGAAAAGAGAGCCAAGGGTGCGAAAGGGGAAAGCTACGGAATATAATAACGAGGACGAGTAGGGGAAGAAGGATGGTAAGCATCGAGCGGCACGGCATCATATTCTGGACGTGACGCTGTATAGAAGGAACAACGGTGTAACCATACTTTCTCGGCGCTCCGAATTGACTTCTTGGATCGGTGCTGGATCCCCCTCTCTGGCGCGCCTCTTGGGCTGGGGGCAGCGCCATAGGCGCCGCCATGGTGGCCCAGCGCCGATCCAAGAAGTCCGTTCGGAACGCCGAGCAATTCTGTGTATGCAATTTTTTGTCCCCTCGATGACCAGAGAACCGTGTGGCACAAGCCCGCTGGGCATTGGCAGTCCCCCGTGGGCACCACGGCGAGGACGCGAAAGCGTCCAAGGCTGTGCCCGCAGGAGGCCGGTCACGGCCAGAAGCACCAGGCGGGCGGCGACGTCCCCTGAACGGGCCCTCCGGGGCAGCCCATCGCAGGGGTGGCGCCAGAGGGGCCGTCTTTTATCTCCTGGCCCTTCTGTGTGGGGTTCTTGTCTGTCGGTTGGGCACGGTGGTCTCCAGCCCTCCTTCCTCCCACCTCCTCCGCGCGCAAAGGTTCGATTATTATTTTTGTGAAATTTGCAAAACGTTTTTATTCGTTTCGAAGCCAGCGACGCTGAAGAATGACCGATGTTCGTTTCTTGCGAAAGCTCGTCGGTTTTCTCCTCCTGTCTCCTGCATGCTGCCTCCCCTGCTCGTGCCCGTGCTCCTGGGCGGCCGCGAGCTGCGCGACCGCTGCCGCTCCTGTCGTGGGCTCCCGGGAGGCCCAGGCGTGTCGCGGGCCACGCGCACCCAGCCGAGACTTCGTTGCCCCCTGGGAGGTCCAGAGGGGCGGAGTTGTGCGCGCACCCAGCCGAGACCTCGCGGCTCCCTGGCGGCTGCGAACTGCCCAGCGGTCACCACTTTCGAGTGCTCCTGGGAGGCCCAGCGCGGTCGGGGGCCACGCACACCTATTTGAGAACTCGCTGCTCCCTGAGCGGCTGCGAGCTGCGCAACCGTCGCCACTTTCGTGGGCTCCCGGGAGGTTCGGCTGAGTCGCGGGCCACGCACACCCAGCCGAGACCTCGCTGCCCCCCAGGTGGCTGCGAACCGCGCAACTGTCGCCGCTTTCGTGGGCTCCTGGGAGGCCCAGCGGGTGGAGGGCCACGCGCACCCATTTGAGACCTCGCCGCTCCCTGGGAGCTCCAGAGGAGCGAAGGGCCACGCAGACCAAGCCACTACCTCGCGGCTTCCTGGAGGTGGACAACCATCGCCACTTTCGCGGGCTCCTGGGAGGCACGGTGGAGGTGAGGGCAGCGCAGATCAATTTGAGACCTCGAGGCTGCCTCGGGGGCTGCGAACTTGCACAACTGTCGCCACTTTCGTAAGCTCCTGGGAGGCACGGCATTTGAGACCTCGCAGCTCCCCCGGGGGCTGCGAAGTGCGTCACTGTCTCCACTTTCGTGGGCTCCCGAAAGGCACGGTGGAGATAAGGGCAGCGCAGATCGTGCACGTCCAGCGATGTGCTCTTGTGTATGTAGCGTTCATACAACTATTCGCCTCGCGTGGGAAACAGGGTTGAGCACGTCTCGGGTACCTTTTTAGACAGAAGGCGGTCTCACCCTCGGCCTGGGGCCGCAGAGCGCCACCAGAGGCCTCCTTTTTTACGTGGGGTCCGAGAAGATGGGGTCGGAGGATCGCGCCGCATCGTCAATGCATCGGCGATGCATCGGCGACATTGGCGACGCATCAACGCCATGGGCGGGGGGAAATTCTCGCTCCACGTCGAGCCGCATCGTCAATGCATCGGCGATGCGGGGTGATACTTCGACCGCATCAACTCGGACCCCATTTGGGAGGCCCAGACCCACGGGGGTACCATAGGGGTCGCCGCGGGGGGGGGGGGGGCTCAGACCGTCCCAGGCTGCTTTGGGGGGGCCCTGCCGCAGTTGACCATGTGACGGACCTCTGGGTGATGCCCGCGTGAAGCCCGAAGCCTCTCGGGCCGTGCAGAGGGGCCGCGGGCGCAGTTCGGCCGACACGCTGCCAGTGGATGGCATCCTGAGGGTGGCGGTGAGCCCCGAGATCCTCCCAAAGATGCTCGCATCATGAAACGCACAGTTCGCGCATGTTTCCTCGTTTCGGCCCTTTAGGGGCCCTCGCTGGGCCCTGGGACCTTCACAAAACGCCTCAGGATAAACAACTGGTCCTGGGGACAGGGTCGGGACTTCTGGGGACCCCGTAATGAAACAATCGAAGCACCATGTGTCTGGACCAGCGTCTCGATTCTTTCGAGCTGGGCGCTTGTCCCAGGTGTCAGGCCCTGGGACCCTCGCATATCGATCCGGCTCGGCAAGTGGCGCAGGAAGACTGGGCCCATGGTTCCAGCCGTAAGTTTACACGATGTTGCAGTTGTTGCCGCTGCGTCGGACCTCAGGGAGGAGGAGCAGCTGGCTCCAGGGCCCCTGCTGGACCACCAGACTTGTACGGATGCAGGGCTGCGTGCTGCCAGGGCCGCGGTAGTCGGGAGGCAAAGTCACCGCCACATCGACGCTGGGAAGGAGCGGGCGCGCAAGAAGACGCATCGTCACCACGCCACAATCTTTGTTTAAACCGTCATCGTCGCTTCGTCGTCATCAAAACGCAGAGCCGCCTCGGCAGCACCCACGTCTCGTCCATGTAGGTTCGGGCAGCCTGCTTCTGCACGTAGGCCTCACTACGTCTGATCGCCGCCTTCCGGTGGAGGGGTGCAAGGAGACCTTCGACCCGACGGACGGGGACAGCGGACAAGGAGGCATCGGCTAGAGGTCGGTCGACACACACACACACACACATACGCACACACACACACACACACACACACACACACGCACGCACGCACGCACGCACGCACGCACGCACACACAAGCACACACACACACACACACCACAAATGCCTTCAGCCTGGGGGACAGTAGAAGAGAGATTGACGGGGGAAAGGAGGGATGAAGGATGAGGAATGCCCGATGTGAGAGGAGGGGGCGGGGAGACGAACGGGAAGGGGGATGAGGAGAGGAGGGGAGGACGAGGGGACGGAGCATGGAAGTCGGGGGATGACGGGACCGAGCGGGGAAAGGGGGGGAAGCGATGGCGAGGCGTGGGGGTGAAAAAAGAGGGGCAGAGGGGCAGAGCCAGAAGAACGGGGCCAACACATTCCAGCGATCAGAGGTCTCAGCATATACCCTCGGGGCGCTGACCTAAGGAACCCTAAATAAGGAACGGGCCCCCTTTTCTCCAGAAGTTGAACTTCGATTTCCCTTCGAAAACCTGAGGAAAACGTAGGGCAAGCTGTGAAACACTTAAGGAACGCGGAGCCCCTCCCCAACAAAAAGGGTTCCTTCTTCAGGGCCCCGACTGTACGTTAGGCCGTGGGGCGCGCAGTCGAACCATCGCATGCACAAGCAGCGTGACCTCACAACAGCGGCAACTCCAACCAGAACCTTCCATGGGGCGGCTCCTGCCAGGCGAGTTGCCGTTGTTCTACAGTCGCGACGGTGGCTGCAAACGGTCCAGCTGATGAGAGTAACTTTGGGAACGAAATCAACCCAGGACTGCCAGATCTGGTAGGGATGGCTGGCAAACACATCATGTTTATGTGTGTGCATGCAAGTATCTCTTCTTGCCCACGTGTTCGATTCAGCGAGATATTGCCAGGCTATGAGGCACACACCCTGGAAGACACCATGTCGTGTAGCTGCGGTCGCCAAACTGGGCCCTTGAGACGCCATGTGCACAATCGCCACGCATCGTCAGGTCGCTGGGAAAGGATGTCCTAGGCGTCCAAGCTGCAATGTATTCTCTAGGCCGGCCAGGTGTATCCTGGGGGTCAAATGAAATCAGTGGAATACCATCTCTTCCATATTATGGACGGCGACAACAGGGTGGGAGTCCATCCCAAGACTCATCCAACAAGAAATCCCCCCACCAGACACCTCGCGCGCCTCTGCCTTTAATAATATGATTGACCACCCTACCTGCTTCCATCAACACGGTTTCGAAGCGGATTCAGGTCCTTAGAAGCGTACTCCAGGCCACCAGAATGATAAACAGGCGCGCGTTGCGCACCCACGTCCACCAGTGCCCCTTTTTCCGAGTATAGCCCAGGGCGGCTTAAGCTGACGTTGCGCCTACCCTTCTCTTCCTCAATGGAGGCGGGATGGAGAGTAGGCGGTGGGAGATGTGACAGAAGGGAGTGCCAATCCCACCAGCCCTCATGGCTGAGGTCTAAGGCGTTTTCCTCTCCCAACCCCCTTCTTCCCCTTCGGGGAGGGGTTCATCATCGCTCCCTCTGAATAAACACCCCCTACCCCGCCCGACCCCCCATCAACCCTGCCAGAAGCAGCACAAATGTCACTCTGTGCCAAAATCTAAATCCTGCTCGGGCGCCCCGCGATCGTTTGCATTGCTCTTGTGACAGGTGGGGGGGTGCTGTGACGTGCGCTTGCGCACCTGGCGCGGTGGAGCCCATGGGGCACCTGGCGCGCGTGGTGCGCGTGGCGCACCCGGCTCATACCCTGCGCGCCTGGCACGCTTGGGCCCATGGGGTGCACCTGGCGCGCCCGGTGCGCGTGGCGCATCCGGCACGCGCGGCGCACCTCGCGGGCGTCGGGCACCCGGCTGGCGTCTGCATGGACTCCCGGTGGTTGTCGATGGCAGCCCCAGCCCATGGCGAGACCCAGGCCCTACTTCATGTGGGAGGGCGGGTGGGAGTGAGCGAGACAACTCGCGGCGTTCCCGCTGGGAACTTGACCCGTCCCCCTACTCCCGACAGCCTACCCTGGGCGACGGATGAGAGCGTCCACGATGGGTCCAAGATGGCTTTAGAGATGGCCTCCAATATTGGTAGATACGTCCCAAGGTGACCCAACATAGCTTCCCACACTCGTCTAAAAGCCCCCAACTTAAAGATCCCCCCGTTACTGCTCCAAGTAGCCACAGAGCTTGCCAAGGAGGCCCCCAAGAGGCAATGCGAAACACACATATTAGAAAACACATGGAAATTGCGTTAACACCTTTTCGCTTCCGATTGGCTTTTGAGGCCTCAAGGATGCTCCATGATAGCCATAGAGGGCCCCAAGAGGTGCCCGATCTGGTCCCAAGACGGCCTCCAAAGCGCCCAAGATTTCCCCACCAGGGCCCCAAGAGTCGACTTTTCGGCCGCAGCAGGGGGGGGGGGGGGGGGGGGGGGGGCGACGCTGTTAGGGGACGCCAAAACCATTGAAACGCAAAATGACTGCTCAAATGTTTTAGCATCTCGGGGGCGTCCTTGGGAGGCGTGCGGGCGCGGGAGGTGCTGATTTGGTCAGTGGCGGACTCGGATCTCAACGAGTTTCGCCAAGCGGCCTAAATTCTCATCCCGCTTGACCAGCATGGACCGCGAGTGCGTGGACGAGCGGCCGCCGGCTGTCCTCATCCAAGGTAGTCATATCAACGGCAACCCAGTGCCACCCATGACTTACCACACGCGCAGCTTGGCCGAACGGCGGGGCCAAGTTGGAATTGGGAACGCCCGTGGGCGGGATCGGCCTAGATGAACTTCAACCGATTGCCGCAGGAGCGTATTGACGACCTCCTCACCTGGTCGACACCCTCCGCAACAGGGCGCAGCAGGCTGGCCAATTCACGATCGGCCACGAGGGCCTCAGCTACGTCTTGCTGCGCGCGGCGGGCGCGGCGAACATCCAGCTGGCCACGATCCGGTAGCACAACGACGTGGCCCGCCCGACGGAAGCACCGCGGTTGGCGCGAATGATGGGCCAGCGACGCCGATTCGAACATATGACCGAAGGCTCGCCGGGCAGTCTCGCCTCGGCTGCGCACTCGCCCCAGCGCCAGGCGTTTCGCGCGGGCGCGATCCGGATCAGAGTGCCGATGGCACTGGAGCCGGATCGAGCTGGGACGGAAGGGGCCCTTCAGCTCCAGCAGCAGCACCGAGTCCACCCTCGGCACCTTTAGCCGCCAACGCCGACACGTCGGCAGCAGCGCAGGCGGCACGTCCAGCAGCAGGTTTCGACCCTGGCACCGACTCCGACACCATCGCCTCGCGCGGCGAGGAAGTCGCCACCGACCACCCCGAACTGCGGGAAGTTCCCGCGGAACAGCGCGGCGCGCATCTTCTTGGGGCCCACGAGCGCGCCAAACCCCGGTGGCGCCGCTTCCGCAGCGCCACGCAGCGTCGCTCGCGGAGGGTCATCGAACGCAAGGACAAGGACCACGGAAGGGGCTGCCGCGCCTTCCTGGCCGATTTGTCCGACAACGACCCCCGCGAAACTTTCGCAGGCTTCGGGGGGGGGCAGGGGCCCAGGGGCAAGAGAAACGGCGTGCATGGGACCAGTGGCATGGGATTTGGCCGAAAAGGCATTCCGCCGGGCCCTGGCGGGACACGTCTAAGGTGCCACGAGTGCGACTCAGAGGAGCACCTCGTGCACGACTGCTCATGTCGGCGCCGGCAAGGCCGCACCCTCATCTTCGACGCCCCCGCCTCGGCAGCACCGTCACCGCCTGCGCCAGCATCCTCTCCGCTCAAGCACCTTGGACACCACGGAACTCTTGGACCAGCCGCTCCATCAGCACTGGGCGCCTATTCGGTCTGGATGACCAGGGAACCCTCGGGGTACTCGAACTTGTGATTCTGGGGCCCAATAGCGGTGACCCCGCGCAGTGAGCTGACCCGCGGAACGGCGGCCAGCCGACGCCAGCCTCGGCAACTACGCGGCCAGCGCCAGCACCAGTTACAACAGCAGCAGCCCCAGTGCTGCGCCCGACGGCCCCTGACAGGCAAATAGCTAGAGGCGTTAGTGAAGCCGAGCGGGTGCTTCATCGCCCCCATCGGCTTTCGGCGACTACGCCAGGAAATGGGCGACGTAATGGGCCGCGCACATCTGGACTCTGCTCAAGCGACGGGTAGGGCAACTAGGTTGCCGGTCCGCGCGGCTGGAGCGGGGAATTCAGCAACTGCAGCACCCGCAGCTCCAACAGCATTAGCAGCACCGCTAGCGCTGACGCCGCAGCGCTGGGCCGGAGTGGCCGGCGCTTTGCCGATGGGGCCACAGCAAGGGCGCGACTGGACAAGCGACATCAATGCCCGAGTCGCTACCCCAGCTGCCCCACCTGCCGACGCGCAGTTGCCGAGCTGGGCCGACCTGCCATCAATCGGCACTCGGCATCAGCACGTCATATGGATCGAGCTCCATGTGGCTACCGTAGTCCGCACTGGTAGCCGCGTCACCACCGATACCGGAATCGCACAACGATCTGGCCCTCCTCAACCAGCACGTCCCCGCTGCCGTAGGCCAGCCATCTGGGCGAGTGGCCATGTGGTTCGCCAGCCGCGACACCCAGGCGTCTAGCGGCGTGCGATCCAAACGCGGAGCAGGCTCCACGCGACCGCGTGCAACGACGACTCCTCGACGAGCTTCACAGCACCCACTTTGCACTTGAGCTCTTACGACAACAGGACGAGCAACGACGACGAGCCGCACAGCGTACAGCGTTGGACAGGAACCCCTACTAATCCACCTCGCGCGCAGGCTGCCGCGCCAGCTGCACCCCGCGCCACGGTCTTCAACGGCGATGACAGGGAATGCCCCATCTGCATCAAGGCGCTCGGACACGGCGATCGAGTTGCACCCCCAGTGCCGCCGCATCTTGCGCCAGGCACGCCGCCTACAGCTCGCGCGGAACACCGACGCCCACCTGGCGCAGTGCCCCGCGCGGCCTGGCCGACGCCATCGCCGAGTGCCGCTTCGCGTGCGCAGATCGCGCTACAACGGGCTGAGCAATTGCGTTGCCGGCCTGCGCGGCAGGCCCTGGCACTCCGGGCCCAGCACTTGCGGCGCCGCCCAGCCGATGCCAGGCGACGGCGTGCCCGAGGAGAGACCGCCACAGCAAGACGCCGCCCAGACTCCTCGGCCCGCACTGACACCCGGGACACCACGGCAGGATCTGATGCGGCCCTTTGGCAGTGCTTTCATCATTGCGTCCGCTGCCGACGTGGCAGCACAGGGCGACGCCCACTTGGACCTGCATGCTCCGCCGCATCGCCCGACGTTTCCGCGGCGGCCAACTTCGTCAGGCACAGGCCCGAGTCCACCGACCGACTCACCATGCCGATTGAAAATTACCGACATTCCAGGCGGCTGGCTCGGCGTCATTGTGGACACTGGCGCCTGGACCAACCACTGGGGGCAACGCTTCGCGATGAACTTGCCCGAGGCCCCATCCATCCCACAGAGGAGCGGCCGACGTCTCCACTCTGCGTAGCAGGAGCGGGCAGCGGGCAGGGGAGGTGCACCGCCCTATTGCGGTTCTCCAAGAGGGCCCCAGGTAGCCCACGATGGCCTCCAAGATGGCATAAGATGGTCCAGGGTGGCTAGGTGGCCAAAGATGCTCTCCAAGATGCCTCCATAAGTCCCCAATACCACCCCATACGGTTCCAAGACCCCCACAGCCGCACAAGGCTGCCCCCCAGAGGCCACAATAATTTCAAAACCTGTGTGACACCAGATAAGTGTGGTAGTTCACCTTTTCGCTACCGATGGCCTCTGGAGCCTCAAAATGATTCCATGACTGCCAACTGGAGTCAACGACGGTTCCATGACAGCCCCAAGAGCGCCTAAGAGCACCCAAAGAGGACCTCAAGAGGCGACTGCTCGGCCTCAAGACGTCTTCCAAGATGCCCCCCCAAAGTCCCCAACACCGCCCCAGACGGTTCCGAGTACCCACGGATGGCTTAGGTGTGGTGTCGATTCGGGCGCTCGGACGGGGACGGAGCTGTCGGCCGCAGTGCCACTTACGGCAAGTGCAGCAGACAACTTCAAAGACCCAGCCAAGTGGATCTGGCCTGCCTTGCCAAATCAATCACAAAAGCAGATGCCTGCACAGTCATGCAAAAGGTCAAATTCTCCGAAGCATCAGGCATACCCCAATGAACAAGGCACGGCGATGCCCATTGCACTGAAGCTAAAACGCACAATGTCAAACACACCCTCTTCAGATGTAAAGCGGTAACGGCCAAATCAAAGTGTGAGTCGGTCCAGAGTCCTCCTGAAAATTGTCATCTCACCGCTCTGCAGTGGCCATGGACATCCACTAATATCTAATATGTCGGGGACATGTCTTACGCAACGTGTATTCGCGCTGCAGAGATCATAAGCATGCGCTAATACTTATATTATACGGGTCGTACCGGGTTGCTTTAGGTGAACATGCCAGGCAAACCCTACAATGACACACTCCGTCAGCCCATCGGTGCGGACGAAGACAACCGTTGCAGTCTCAAGCAGTTGACCTGAGAACTCAGGCGCCACGCCCAGCTATTCGCCAGCGTGGCAGCACGGGCCCCCGCATCGCTTATTCGGACAGCGGGGCAGGCCGACAAGAAACGCGGGCAAAGCAAGAGACAGAAACGGGCAGGACAGCGAGGAGCCGAGGAGCGAGAAGGGCTGGGGCGAGAGGAAGGGAGGGCGACAGGAAAGGACAGACCGGGCCGACAGACGGAGGGACCGGGAGACGGGAAGGGGAAGCCAAGGAGGGAGAGAGTGGGGGAGCACACAACGCACAAGGGCAGGGAAGCACAAGGGCAAGGACCCGCCTAGGGCTGCTCCCAAATGGTCAAGAACAATCCCAGCTCACAGGGGAAACACATGATTGGGGCCCTCTCGCCTTTTCGCTTCAGATGCCTCAAGATGATTACAAGATGGCCCAAGAAAGCCCCAAGAGCGCCCCAAGAAGAAAGCCCCAAGAAGACAGGCTAGTGGCCCCTTAAGGGCGGGGCTGACAATAAAGAAATCCCTCGTTTTTCGTCGATGGCCTCCAAGTTGGTCCCAAGATGGTCTGAAATGCCCTCTACAGGGTTCCAAGACAGCCTCGAGGGACACAATACTGCCCCAAAGGCTTGATTCTTCACTTCCCTGTGCAATGCAACTCGCCTGGGCACCGTTTCTGGATGGGCTGGTGGGGGTACGCGAAGCGTCAAGAATTTAGCTCCTAAACCTGGGAGGCACATGGACAGCGGTGCGCTGAGGGCCGCCATGGGTTCCAAGAGTATCGGCGGGGGGTTGAGCAGCACAGGGGAGAACGTATATAGTCGTGTCATGCGTTCCATGGGTCTTCCATGGATGGAGGGACGGATCGAGAGAGATGCGAAGGGGCAGATGAAGAGGGCTGATGGTGGAGGGGAGGGAGATGCTGGGAGGAGGACGACTGGAATTCTGAGGCGCACGCTACAGTGGCGATGACGGACCCCTGGGGCCGCCACATACCGAACCCTTGCAAAGAGCATTCCTCCTCCAACTCCTGCCCCTCTTCCTTCGTCTCTGGGAGGGGACGTAGGCCTCCGACACGCATTTTTCACAAGGAAGGCCCCGCAGGGATCGACGCCACCCCTGGATCTTTCGTCGCCCCAGGGCCCGATGCGGGCCGCCAGAGGCGAAACACCCAAGAACATGCGGATGTCAGGCAAATACTCGTTCATGATGTCAGAAGACGCGGCCGTCGTCGTCGCCCCACCCTGACATCCCCGCGTCGTGAAAACATCGCCACAATGTGTTTTGACACCTTCGGCGTCTGGGGCCCTGGGGGCCCTCCCTGGGCCCCGAGACCGTTACAAAAACGCCTCGGGCTGAAACGCCAATCCCCCGAGAAGGGTCCACGGCCCCAGGGAGCATGCTGCGAACAATCTCACAGCGCCGCACGTCCGGGCAGGCACGATGGGGTTGACAGACGCAGGGCGCACGTCTTGGCCCCGAGCGCAGGGCCTTCCCCGGGTCGAACTGCCCGACGGCGGTCAGAAACCTCGCCGTTCGGCTCGCGCGCGCGCGCGGGCGAGGAGCGGCTCGGAGGGCGGCGCGGAGAACAGGGAGGGCTCGGCGCCCCTCTTCCCTCCCAGATGCCCAGGCACCCACCGCCTCGGCAAAGATTGGAGACGCCTCCCTGTTTCCGAAGTGGCCTCTGAGGGCCCGGGCGGGCCCTGCGGGGCTCAAGAAATGGCCCGGCAGGACAGTGTCGGAGGCCTCCCGGATGGCATCCGAGAAGATGGGGGTCGGCGGATCGCGCCGCATCGCCGATGCATCGGCGACGCATCGGGGATGCATCGGCGATGTGCTGGCGACGTCGCCGATGCATCGGTGGCGTCGGCGCGGAGAAAATCGGGCTCCACAATGAGCCGCATCGGCGAAGCATCGGCGATGCGGCGCGATCCTCCGACCCCATCTACTAGGACCTCATCTGGGAGGCCCAGAAAACTGGGGCGTGCCCCGGGGAAGCAGCCCAGAGGTCCGGCTTCAGGGGGCCAGCGCCAAACTAAATAAACAAGCGAGACGCCAAACCTCTATGCAGGGGGCCAGGCACCCCTGCCAGAGCTGCAGCCTTGACGCGGCTGCGGCTGGGAGATCGGTGGGGTCTGCACCCATACTTGGCGGCGCGAAAAAGGTGGTGGAGGGATGGGGGGGGCTTCTTGGAGGGGGGCTGCTTCTTAGAAGGCGCTGGCCCTACATCTATAGGGAAGGCCCGCCCACCCCCACTCTGCGCGTGGCTGACATATGTCCTCGCGTCGTGGATAAACCACGGCGGAGGGTGCATTGGCCACTTTGGCAAACGAAAAACAAACTGAATAAGCATAAACTTCCTAAAGTCCGCGCAGATCTCTCGGACATGCGCTGAACCCGCGCTTGCTCCGCGCGCCAGCGGCGGCGCAGGCGGTGCCGCCAGGAAGGCACCAACGCCGACCCGGGAAGTCTGCGAAGAGCTCCGGAAATCTACATTTATGCCGCTTCTGATCTTTCGATAGCTAAGCTTCAGGGGGTCCCGGGGCCGCCGCAACACGGCCCGTGGTGAAAAGCCCTTCCCCTGGGAGGTGTCCTGGGGGGGAGGGAGGAGGAGGAGGAGGAGGAGGAGGAGGAGGAGGAGGAGGAGGAGGGAGGAGGAGGAGGAGGAGGAGGAGGAGGAGGAGGAGGAGGAGGAGGAGGAGGAGGAGGGAGGAGGAGGAGATGGAGGAGGAGGAGGAGGAGGAGGAGGAGGAGGAGGAAGAGGAGGAGACGGACCTCTGGGGAGCCACGCTGCGACCAAAATCGCGGCGTCGGAGATCTGGGCGCAGCGGGCCAACGGCGGACGGCAGCCCCGGACGTGGCCCGTCGTGGCGGCGGCGCCCCGTCGTGGCGGTCGGCGAGGCCCTCGCCGAGCGCGGCCGCCGCGTCGCGGCGGGCGGCACCGGCGGCGCGGCGGGGGGGGGTCGCCGTGGGAGTCCTCCTTCCCCCCGAGAACGAAGCGAGGGGGTCGAGGTTCGAGGAGGGCGGTAGGCCGCCGTCGGGACAGAGGGGC